GAGAGTGGGCTGAAAGGCCAATTGAACCTTTCCGTCGCAGTAAAGTGGCACACATGATAACACACGCCGTCTGCCCCAGACCTCGACAGGATAGTCTCCGGTGGGACAAACATCATGGCCAAGCTCTACAAACCCATCCACCTGCGTCATTCCCAGTGAACGGGAGCTGGTACCAATATATTCGCTTGGGTACAGAAGCCTCCGAATCGTGCTGTGTGCACCATCTGCCCCCACAACAACATCCCCCCACTCCGTTTGACCATTCTCTAAAACAACGTGTACACCGCCCTTGATACCATCGTGCGGCAAAAGATCCACGGCTCGACTATTGAAATGCACATCCTCCACATGATAACGAAGAATTCGGCGGAGATAATCCGCAGAGAATGTTGCGCGAAGCGGAACGCTGCCAAGATCTTGCTTCATCTTCTCCTGAATACGCTGGGATACAATGGACTCACTGTTGGCGGGTGGTGCGGTGCTGAGAGGTATCATCTCCCCGTCGCCTAAAGCTCTTAGGTGCACCGTCCGGTTGCGCACGCGTAGCAACCATCGGAGACGCTCGTCCAAGATCCCAAAATATTCCTCTGAAACAACATCACCCCCGCTTAACACGTGATCCATTCCAAACGCCTTGTAACAACTTAACGCATTTGCAAACAACGTAAAAGGCATCTGATAATTTGCCCGCAAAAACGGTGCCTGTTCCAAGACGACGCAATCAACGTTCAAACGACGCAGAAAGGCTGCAAGAGACAGACCCGAAAGCCCAGCGCCCACAATAACTACCCTCATACTTCTACCTATCGCTCTCTAAATACATTTCCATTTCATAGCATCAAAGAGTAAAATAAATAAATATATACAAATAATAATAATAACGAACAAAAAAAAACGGTAATAATAATAATTTTATACGTATCTACTGCAAATTGTGAAGTAAAAAGAAAAGAAAAAACTATAATAGCAGTATGGTTTAATGACACGTTGGAGAATAAACCAGGCACACCGAAAGAAAACTGGTTTCTTTCATGCAACACCAAGCAATCGCCCTTCTATTCCACAACAATAATTTCCCCATTCAAGTTGCAGTTTGTCCTCAACTGTCACAGAAGCGTCCAACGAACGACCCACATGCAATCTTACCCGTGCCTCCGCAGGAATATTCTTGCGAGCCCTACAACATACTCTAACCTCACCCGCCTTCGTTACTGACTCGATAAAGAGAGAAGCGTTTGATGCCGCCCTTAAAGGAACTTTTGCCACCTTTCGTGAGAAAGAAAGAAAACAACTTAGCGATGCCACCCCTGTGTCTACCGGATCATGAAGTGGTAGACTGCCTTCCTGCATGGCAATAAGTAGCCAGCTGGCTTCTATTGGTGTGAACGGAGAAGCCCCCTTCATTTTTTCATAGCTCTTCACCAAAAGTGTCGACAACGATACCGCCACGGAGTCTGAGTGCAAAGATATGGATCGCGGCTCAACAAGCATGGTTGCAACGGCAGGACAACGACTCCCCGCTACCAGCAGTGCACGAGCAAGTGCGCTGAACCCCACGGACCACACCGTCACTTTTT